ACTGCAGTGTCATTGCCATTCTATTTCAGAATGGAAAACATCCACTAGATCTTGTATGGAGCAGAAACAAATAATTCAAAGTCTTGGATCTGCCTTGAGGTGTCTCCAGTAGATATTGTAAAGGCTGAAAGATTTCTCTCTGCCTCATTAATAAAGCTATCATCTAGGCTCAAAATTAAGATAGGCACTGGTTATCCATATAACCAGTATCCATTTTATTTAATTTAGTTCCCTGTGGAAATCAAATGAGATATAATACTCATGCATTTCCTTCCTTTTCAGCCAAACCTAAAGAAATTGCTCCATTCCTTATCTCTCAGCACTAGATAATCCCTGAACTAAATTATTATTTTTTTCTCAAAGATATCTTTGAACTTCCAGTTGTTTCCGTAGCCACTCTAGAACATCTGTACAGCTTTTTCCATCCTGCCCCATCAGCTTACATGATACTAGAAAGGCCATCTCAAAAGAAGAACAAGGGAATTCTGCCTTCATGGTTTGAATGTTTCTTGTTATATCTCCTAAGACTGCGGTAAAATCACTGGTTACTGACAGCTGAAAGGCCAGTGGCCTTTTTGACCTCGAAAACAAGCTGAAAAACCATCAAGAGGTTTCAACTGGTGATCACTCAGCCTGTAAGCAAGGCTCATATCAAACTGAAATTCTTTCTGGTCATTAGATACTTGAAAAGTTGTCAATTTATGTCCAGTCTTCTTCAGCAGAATTCCCACAGTTCCTGTATACATAACCATTCTAACTTGCCTTGCAGAAGAAATGCTACTGCAGTTATTGATCTCAAAATGCACATCATGGTCTTTCCTTGTTTCTTTGGACCGTTTTCCATCAACTCCATTTTATACCATATGAGAGTAGTTTGTAACCAAAATTGCAATCTAAATAAACTGAATATAGAGTTCAATGGTGCCAAAGTCCAGGGTGATTAGATCTTGGGCTTTGATCCAGATGCATCTTGCTGATAAGTAAAGAAAAGAGAATATATCAATCAGCTAGTTACAACAAGTCCTTGGCCTGTATATGGAAGCAGAAGATGAGGAGGAGGAAAAAAGGATATACCGTTTGATAATTGGTAGGTGACAGCATGCTGTGTGTGCAGCCTGGGGAAACAGAGATCCATTCAATCCGCCTCACAACAGACTCAGTAACTTCACTGGCCCACGCACTCTTCCGTCTCAAGCACCCAACATGTTTCATAGCCTCCAGTCATCAGCCTTGGCGCCAACAGATGAATCATATCTCCTGTGAGTGTCCCTGCTGCATAACTTCTTACATCCTCTGCAGTTAGATAGCACTTGCCAATCCCAGATCTCAAAACACTGCATTAATGTGGATGGGATTAAATATCTTGCATGTAGCCATGTGAAATCAACCAGCATTAAGATTAGAGACCATACCTCCTCACCCTCCTTAAGTTTTCTGATCCCTAGGTCACAGCACCTTCCTTCATTATGTGTGCTTAACAGTCAATGGTAAGCACTTGTGATAGGCAGAAGAGTTTTTCCACATTCCAGAAAGGCAGCAGATAATTAACAGGCACATTTATTTTTAGATTTATGTTAAGAGTCAGATAGTAGCAGTTCTCTAGCACTTGGTTAGCCAAGTGATTTCTATTTTCTAGGTTAGTACTCTAATAGACTACCATTCTGGATTTGACCAAGCAGAGGGATATAACCATGGGAGCAATGGTTTCCACCATCTGGTACAGACCTTGTATATCAAGGTCATTGGTATCTCAAGCCATCAGGGATGCCCCTCTTGATTCAGATCAGTCATTCATAAAAGCCTTATTGCCTACTGCCCAGAAGCCTGCTAAATTGGGCCATCTTTAGCCTGGCTCTGGAATAAGATAACCAGCAACATCCACACCCTACCTAAGGGAAAGGGAGGGACAGCACAGTAGGGCACAGTCCCCACAGTACTTGAATGAAGTAAGGATAAAAGACTTAGAAATACCCAGATGCAACCAGGAATCCAGATCATAAAACACATTCATGATGATGAAGAAGCAGGTCTAGGGTCAAGCCAGGAAAATAATCCACAGCTGGGAGACAGAATTAAGTAGGATAAAGATTACTACTATCAGGCCCAATCCTTCCATTACTAGCTAGATCCACAGCAACAAGAAAAATGTAAGGTCAAGCTGAGAATTTGATCTGTAGATCACAATCCAAACTCATGCATCACTACAGTTGCACTGAAAAACAATACTCCTACAAGACAGCTGAGACTAGATGTGAAGCCCAAGCCTGGGCTTAAATGGAGATCCTGGACCTACGGGCAGAGGGTGTGGGTGGCGGCCATGTGGGGTGTGTCAGGGCTGTTAAGGCTATTAGTGTACTTCAGGGCCACAACATAAGTTTCTGTAGTCTTTGTAGAGTGTACTTAGGTGCAAGAACATCACTGCTGCTTGTTGTGACTGCTGTAACTCCTTCTGCACCTCTACTCCAGAATATTTCTGGTATCATAACCCTAGCCTTCAATAGCAAGGACACAGATGAGTTGTGGTCTGCAGCAGCAGGTAGGCATTATTAAGAATTGCTGGTGTAAGGACTCAGTGTGAGGGTCAGTATACAACTTCAGGAACTCCCAAGCTGCAGAACGTACCCAGATGCCTCTTCTGGCATTCCTGACTGAATTCTCTAATCAGGGTATTTCAAACTCTCCTCAAGGATAACTTTGCTGGGTGAGAGCAGAGAACTGGTGTCACAGAACTGTAACTATTTTTTCAGTTCTACCACTCCTGTAGTCACCACAGACTACTCAGAGCTCTGTTACCTTTTACATGGGGGCTTTTTATACAGAAGGGTATATATTCAAAACACCTCTTTGCAGGTTGATGGTTTGACTTCATGATCTTGGAGGTCATATTCAACCTTAACAATGATTCTATGATTGTATGTGTATTGAAGGGGCAGATGACAGTGGTGTGGGACAGATGCATGTAAAGAATTGACTTGGGCTACAAATAAGTTGCAGTCCCAGCCCTGTTCCATGGGTAGGGCCCCTGTGGGATGTGATTCTGTGGTGTTGATACAGCTGAGGAACTCGCCCCCTGAGAAACTACCTGTGGGATGGAAAGGGGCTGTGAAACTCACAGGAGAATTAAGGTAAATACAAACTATTGAGATATCTTGTCCCAATTATGCTGCTCAGTTTAAGCAGTTCAGTACACAAGCTTCAGGAATTAAACATTCCCGTAAGTCTGGCTCCTTCTAGACATTTGTTAGGCTACCTTTCTACTGGGTCTCCTTTCAGTGTTTCTTTCAGGAAGTATTTATTTAAATTGTCAGACCAAAGCATTGCAGCCAATATGGAACCACTTGCTTTTTTTTTTATCTCTCAGCTGGCTTGTTTGGTTTGGATTTCTTCTCTGACAAACAATTTACTTTCCCCAAATAGTGTATTTGAGAAATTCAGATGTGAACTTCAAACCAGTGCTCAAATTGGGGGAAAAACTCAGAAATTTTCAAGTCTTAAAAAATCATTTAAATTACGTTTATCCTTTGAAAATTGCTTTTAAAAGGCCGAAAATGTTTAAGTCAAAGCAAAACATTTTTAACAGGATCAAACTGAATATTTCTGTTTACATTGAGAATTTTTTATTAAAAAAAAACCTTAAAAGTTAGAATTTAGTGTTGAACTTGGCTGTTATTTGTTTGAATGTTTTCATTTTACCCAATTATTTATATAGGTCACGTTATATAATGTCTTTTCCCTGAAGGGAAATCAAGTTTTCGTGGGAAGTGACTTTGCAGGATGAAGTGTTCCATGCTTCCCATGAGGTTAAAAGTTCATTTAATTTTATCCCTTGTCACGTTTACTGTACACACCTTTTGACTTCCTGCTCAAATTGCAAAATGATGCATATAAACAGCATCAAAGCACATAAGAAATGCTAAAAATACGGAGAAAGACTTCTATTAAATAGTTGGTAGGAATGACTTTTTTATCCAGGGTTTGAGGTTGGGTAGAAAGGCAGAAATGTAACTTCTTTCTGCTGATGCTGTTACTGGTTATCCACAGTATCAGGATGCTTTTTAAGTTTGTTGGCCAAGGGATTATCAGTTAGCTAGTCTTCACTGTGCTGAAACCCAGCTAATACAGATGATTAGTGGGAAAATAACTGCAAGAGCCTGTGTATTTGAAACAGAGACAGTGGTTCGGATCCCACTTCTATCCTCACAAGTGTGTAAATCTGAGTTCGTGACACCATGACCTCAAAGATTTACACTTATAAGCAGCTGGTTCCACTGGCAGCTAAAGGTCCAAAATATCTTAGCCATTGCTGTAGTCTGCACATTGAGAAGTACAACCTCTAACAAGAGCCAGAAAACCTCTTCCAGTATTGAAGATACAACTTCATGGCCAGTATTCAGTATCCAGGATATGACAGATCATGGTAGAGGAGAAAGCTGCCAATCTCAGATGCCTTTTTTCAGTATACCTCAGCAATACAAACCTGCAGGATGATACTGCAGGGCATGTACATTGCTAGGGGAATATTTACTCCCTTTTTGACACTTGAAGAAGGACCTGCTCAGCAGATGGGGATGGAGAGGAAGGAGGTTGAGCAAAGAGAAGCCCAGAGTCAGGATGGGCCCATTACTCATATGCAATTATCGTGCAATTATCTACCTATATTTTATAGATACTGTTCAATAGTATCTACCTATTTCAACAAATATTTGTCCTTTCCTCCTCCCCATTACTGACTTTTGGCTTTGCCTCCCCTCCGGGGGGCTGAGAGTGAGCTTAGCAAGCAGTACAAATAAATATGACGGGTGCTAAAATGTAATCCTATCCTGCCAGGCTGTCGGTGCAGGCAAGAGATATTTTTCCCTCTCGCAAAGAGCAGTAGGTCGTTTCTCCCTCAGCTCACCGGAATGCCTCCCCGCGAGGGATGCAGTGCGCAGCAGGCGACCCAGCACGCCGCTGCCCTCAGGACCAGCGCACTTGGTATTTCTTATAATGCAGAAGAAATCACGACGAGTCAGGTTCAGCTCCTGATCTGATCCTTGTCGAGTCAAAGCATCTGTTGAGCGCGACCGGAGGAAGATACAGACCAGGAGCGGGGATCCGCGCCGCTCCCTGGAAGCGGCACATTGATCATTGGCCGCGTGGCCAATTAGCGGCAGGAGCCAGGTCCAGCCCTTGTGTCTGCGCTCTGGTGATCTATCGCCAATAATTACCGACGCACTTAATGCCTAGTTTGGATGGGAATTAATTGGAGGCCGGATAAATAATGCATTAGGGTTTATTCAGCCCCATGTGAAGCGTCTCCCCCGAGCCAGAGCTGGAAGCGGCGAGAAGCGGCGTCTGAGCGGCGGTGGCGGCGATGCGCGGGGCGGCGGCCGGGGCCGGGTGCTGATGCTGCGAGCAGCGCCCAGCCGGGAGCATGCTGAGCCCCAAGATCAGGCAGGCCAGGAGAGGTGAGTGTGCCTACCCCTGCGCCTCGCGTTGTGGGGAGGGAGACCATCTGCCGGCACCGGAAACTTCGCGGCGGTGGCGGAGAGACCCTAGCGCTGCCCGCGGAGTGTCCTCCACCTGGGCTGCAGGGGCTGCCCGGCAGAGCAAGGCTGATACCCCGCTGGCCGAAGCCAGCCCTGGGGAGTGCAGCGGGAATGAATGTTCGGGGAGAATGAAGCGCAGGAGGAGATCCTGTGCTGGTGTTCACCAGCATGGTCTGCAATTTCAGGGCTGATCAGCAGTGACAATTAAAAAAATAGTACTCTGTCCTGGGACTCGACTGAGCCTTTTCATCCCCGTGCTGGTTGCTAATGCTGTGTTTCTAACGCTGAATTCATTATAACAGTTGGAGACAGTTGTGACAAGTTTACCTGCAGCATCTTGGAGAAGCAGTTTCCTGTAGCACCTTATCCTTCCAGGGCTGGAAGCAGGAGGTGGAGATACTCATTCTGTGTGAGCTTGTAGGCAAGACAAAAGGGAGGAAGGAAAACATGCCCTGGGTTTGCAATAGCTGCTTTGAGCAGACCTCTGAGTGTTGTGTGCAGTGTTTGTAAAGCAATTAGCTGTGGCTGGGCACAGCCATTGTCTCCAAGTCAGGTCACCTGCAAGAGATGCTCTGGCAGGGGATGTATTGTGTGATCTTCACCAGTTGCTCGTTTGACATGGCGTTTGTTGATCATTGCTGCCACTCTCAAACTAATAAGAGTCTCAGAGGGATACATTTTCCTGCACATTGGAAGCAGATTAGACTAATGTCATTTAGGAGCTAAAACAAGCACAGTCAGAAGAGTATGCAAAGATTAGGGTATTCTTCAGCCATGCCACCATCATAAAATAGGAAAAGCGTCACTGCTTCTAGCTACTGTGATTCTGAGACGGGTACTTTCAGCCAAATGTCACTTGGCTTCATATATATGAAAGCAGTATTACACGATGAACAGTCCTTAAAATACCAACAGCCCATTAAATAGCTGATAGCATCTTGGAAGGAAGAAGCTTCTTGCCATCTGCAGGTGTCAGGATTGGATATGTACTACCACACCCTCAGTAAAGTCATAAGTACTTATTTCTTAGTTACACAATTTTGTAGAAGTTCATTAAGTCTTTTGTAGATGCTGCCTCTTTGCCATCCCCCTTCTAAGGGGTGCCTAATCTCCTTTTAATACATGTGTTATCCAGCATTCCTGTTTGCTGTTATAGCTCTGATGAGACAAGCTAGATGTCGCTTGTAGAATGGTAAAGGAATTCTGTATCAGAGCAAGGAACACAGGCTTTCAGAACAGCATGCTCGCCATTCTGGCACTCTTCAAATCATCTGGAAGAGACTTAAGTTGAGCATTAACAAATATTGAAATCTAGTTATAGGATTGTAGATACCTATGGGCTACTGATGCTCGGGGGACAAACTGTAGTGTAACTTTGTGACTCAATTTATAGGGGTATATGTCATTCTCTCTGGGTTTGTTCTGTTGGGTTCATTAACTGTGATGAATTTAGAACTTGTGAAAAGAGCTGACATGATGGGTTTTGAAACTTTGAAACTTTTGAAACTACTTTTGCAATGCTGTGGCAAAGCACTGGTAACCTCTGGCAAAGGTTACCAAGTAGGACCTAATCCTGAAAGGTTCTTCTATAGCTCTTGTTCACAGGAACTGTAATCAGGTGGTGCTGAAGATGCTGAATGCTTCTTGAAGGTAAGAGTCCCACCCTGCAAGACTAAGGTGAATGTGAAATGGTAGTTCATGCTCCCTGGTGTCTCAGTTGGGATTGCTAATGAAGGTTCAGGTAATAAATGGTGGATAAGCAAAATATTCAGAAGACTGCAAGAATATACTGTGTACAGTGAGGGCAGGAGATCTGCTGCAAGCTGCTGCATGAGCTTGGCTGACTTCTGAGTAGTGACTGTCAGCTCTGCCATTGAGGACTTAGTTGTGTAAGGGAGGCAGTGTGAGTTCTCTGAGCAGACAGAATGAAGAGAAGGGAAGAGGAAGGATACTCTGGGTACAAGCCTGTGAATTCACTTGAGTGTGACAGAAAGCAGCAGTTAAGCTGAACCTAGGGATGTATTTGTAAAGTCGTTGAGGTTGAAACCCCTCTGTGTGACTAGATAACTCCGCTTCAGGCTGCAAATAGGAATGCTTCACTGACGTCTCTTTTATTTCCAATTCTCTGCTACAAATGTACCTTTAAACCTTCAATTGTGACATCTGATGCTGTCATTTTTGTTTGACTTGTGGATTGTCCTTAAGAAAGCTCTTGGGTTTAAAGACATTCAGCCTTTTGAAAATGTTGAGTCTGGACTTGAGCTTGACATCCAGTGTGTAGTTCTTAATATCTGTGAAAGGTATGGTAGAGAACAAAGATAGTTTGCCTTACTAAAAGTAAATGTCAAGTATAACAGAGTCCTTGCTGTTCCATCAGCAACCTCACATCCGTAACTCAGAAATATGCATATAGAGGTACATTGTGTTTTCATAAGACCTAGGAAGGTGTAAAATCTCACAGATTGAAAATCTTAATGTGTATAAATTGTCCTCTGGAAAATCAATCATCCTGGGTAGGCCTGAATGGATTTTGCATTATTTTTTCGTCTAGTGGTTTATGTACAGCAACTGGAGGAGTACAGGAGCCTGAAATAAGTGACTGCAATGGAAAATATCTATTTTCACATTCTTATTAGGTGATGGAGCATAGAAATACTGCCTTGCAGAGTGGAAGCAAGAAAACTTCCAGTATGGAGAGGAGGGAGAGCAGTTTTCAGACTACATCCTTCAGTCTCAAGGAATGCATTTTTGTTTCATTGCTTTTAAGAGATTTAAAAAATGAAACAAAGCATTTTTTACTTGGTTTGAAAGGGTATACCTTCCCAGTTGTATTTAAATGTGCTAGGAAATGGAAGCTGGACTGAGTAGAAGTTTACGCATTTGTATTTTAATGAGTGATGTGATGGAATTGTCCTCTACAGAAAGCAAGTCTGCTGGCATGATAGATTCTTTACAATAGTCTTGTCTTCAGGACAGTCTGTCTCAGCTGTAGAGGTACTAAGGATAAACCTTCTCTCCTTACTGGGACTTTATATGACTGGGTACCAGTGACCTATTATTTCTGTTTGTGGTATGCTCATACCAATATTACAGTATGTTGAAACTTTTCTTCACAGTCATAAGAATTAAACTTTTGTTTGACTGTTTTAATTAAAATGTAGAGCCTGGAAAAAGTGATAGGAGACATTTTGGCTAGTTAGCCTGCTGCAAATAAGCTGGTAATCTTCACATGCCTGTAGTAGAACAGAGGTATTTCCCTCTCTCTTTTTTCCTCCTCTGAAACTTTTCATAATTCAATTTTAATGAAAAGTGGGCTTTAGCATACTTAATGCGTTTCTAAGGATGGTGTATAGTAATGCTGCCAGGAGGGACTTCAGGGGGTAAAGTACTAGTATAGCCCTCTGGGAGTGAGCACATTTACAATGTAAGCTTCACATGCTTGCAGTGAACACAGCTAGGTTTTAATATTCAGTGCCTTTGCAATGGTGTCATTGTATTTTTAATGAAAGTTCTGTGTCTTTGATTACAGGAGCATGAATACCCTATATTTAGATTGCTTTCTTATGGCAGTAAGGGTACATGATTGCATGATTTCTCTATCAGTTTCTGTCCTAAGAATTTTTATGTTGCTTGGCTAAACTTAATCTTATTTAAAAGAACTAAAGGAGTCTGAAAACAAGATTTGTCTCCTATAAATTCAAAGAAAATTGGTGGCAGGACAGAGGAAATACAACCATATGTACACCTAGGGAGAACTGTCACATAGTACTCAACAGGAATATATGTTCTGAAAGATAATGCCCAACTGACCATACTAAAGACACATATTGGTTGTCCTGTGACAGAACACATATACTCAAGGCAGACAAACAGGTAAGGGATATAGAAGTGTGGGGGGTTATTGGGGATGTGGAATGAACTGGGTATTTGAGCAAGATGAAGAGACAGCCTTATGCAAGAGGAAGGACCATGCAGAACTGGGGTTGGTGTGTGTCGTGGTTTAACCCCAGCCAGCAACCAAGTGCCACATGGCCCCTTGCTCACTCCCCCACCAGCAGAATCAGAGAGACAACTGGAAGAGTAAAAGCTGGAAAACTGTGTTCAGAACAAATCCAAAATGCAGCCATGTAGCCAGAACCAGCACAGTGTCGTAGAAGACTACAGACAGTAATCAGTGAAAATCCAGACTACCTTAATTCTGCAGACTGAAAGCATATTATTTAATACAAATCCAAGTGACAGTCATGTCACAGTAGTATACTTTGTAATCTACATGAGCACTTTAGGGTTAGAAGTGAGCTTTTGAAACAAATCTATTTCTAGTCACTTACTGCACTCTGATTGTGTCATGAAGCAGTCTCAGAATAAACAAACAAAGTAGTATTCCTTTTGGATTAAACTAGGTGGCAAGATAATTTCAGGAGTGCACCTAATGCTCTCCAGCAACTAGTGTGTGTTCCAGTCCATAGGATCAGAATAGAACTAGTCCAAAACAGAGTCCCTTGTAATGCATATGTGGACATTGGTTCCCTGCCATTAATGAACAGATCCACTCCTAATTTAGACATCTTTGAAGTTGTCAGTCACAAGAGTTTGTGTTCAGAACTGATAATTTTATGCTAATCCATTACTTAGGTGGCCAATGATTTACTACCATAGTATCTCAGAGCTTAATAATTCAAAGCATATTTACCTTTGCATGTGCCACATTTCACAGGTAACATTTATTTTCGTGGATTAGGGCAAAACCCTTGGCCACACGCGAAGTCCAAGGCAGAACCAGGACTTCAAACTTGTTTCCCAAAGTGTAGTGTATGGGAAAAAATATTATCCTTCCATCTTATGAAACAGCTTTTCACTGGCCATGTTTTGTTCTTGTAACACATCTGACTCCATAAAAACTCACCGGTTAAGAACAG